CAACTTTCTGGGGTTCCAGAACCCTATGAAACCCTGGCCTTGTAACGCCTTTGTAGAACCCATACAACACCCTTCTGCAATCCTAATAGAGCCCGAATACAACCTCTGCAAAAGCCGAATGAAGCCCTTCCAGACTCCGCAAATAAGGAGCCGAGAAGGGTGGAGAACATATTTATGTGGTGCCGCAATCTAGCTTTGATGGTGCATGTTCAAAGCTTGGCGAGCAGCGAGGCCTTGTGCCATTCATAGCCCGAAACCCGAGCCCTCAAAGGTGTGTTAATTGGGCTGCATTCAAATGCAGTATCACTATGTAGCGTATGAGGAAATCGTAAAGGTTCAGCAGTAAGAACATGTATGTATAAATTATACATATATATATATATGTATATTGATATTGACTAATTATGCATGCATTTTTACATGTGGACTCAGAGCGGGTGTTATTTGTTCCCAACACCGAATGACTCTGGCCGAAGATTCTTGGGCATCCAGAACCTGTTGCTGCCATGCAACACGAAGGAGAAGAGCTCCAAGCAACGTCCTAGCCCGAAAATGGGTAGAAGTCAGAACAGCAACAGCAAGTGCAACATCCTGATCGCAATCCTGGAGCCCTGGTCCCAACGTTTACGGCGGTAGTTCGTGTGATTTTGTGGCCACGGGCCCTAAACGTGAAGTGCTCCCAGATGTGCCAATCTGAACTCAAAGATGTTTAGCCAGAGTTTAGTCTTCAACTCGGAACAAGTTGTTTTGCCAGGCCAACCGCTTTCTAGGCGATCCAGTCCTTCCGGCACCTTGGACGAAGCAGTTTTGCTTGGGGCCTATAGGCACGGCTAAGCGCATGATCCCACAGACCACAAACCCATCCCCCATCAGGTGCGACAACGCTCGTACACACGTAGGTATGTATGTATGGATGGATGCATGGACGGATGGATGCATGGATGGACGGACGGGTGGATGGATGGATGTGCATGTGGGTGTCAGCCAGTCAGTCAGTCTGTCAGTCTGCATGTCTGTCTGTCTGTCTGTCTGTATGTCTGTCTGTCTGTCTGTATGTATGTATGTATGTATGTATGTATGTATGTATGTACTTGATTATGTATTGTATTGTACTGTACTCTTCTGTACTGTACTGAGTTGCATTATATTGTATTGTACGGTATTGTATTGTATTGATTGTATTGTATTGTATTGTATGGTAGTGTATTGTATTGCACAGTACTGCACGGCACGCACTGCAGTGCTGTACTATTTGCGGTATAATGTTAATGTGATGTAAATGATGTAATGCAATGCAGCGTAGGGCAATGTAATGCAATCCTACTTACTGTAATCTAACGTATCATAACGCAGTGTCATGTAGTGCAACGTACGTGCATGTGCACGTGCACGTGACGTGTATGCATATGCGTGTCAGTATGCGTACATGTGCATGTGCATGTGCATGTGTATTTGTGTATGTATATGCATACGCATACGCATACGCATACGCATATGTATAATATGCATATGTGTATGACAGTTGCCTCGCAAGCCTTAGCGAACCAAGCTTGACTCCCACTCCCCCTCAAAAAAAACAACCTCGTGATCCTGAATTCGTGCGCAACGCCAAAACCACAGCAGCCCCACGCTCGGCAGCTCTGTGAAGCCAACATTCGCGAAGAGTTGTCCCGGTCGTTCTCCGAGATCTCTGTGGCTGCCGACGAAATTTTGGTGCCAGTTATGTTTCGGGCTTGGGCGTTCTTGCGATGCCCAGGCAGACTATGCGCAGAATGCAGAGAAGGCGTCTGCGTGCGTTTGTGTGTCTCTGTTCAAAGCTTCAGGCTTCTGCGCCCTGAGGTTTTCGAATTTAGTCAAAAGTAGTTCTAAAGAATACTGAAGAATCCCTTCTCTTGTTAAACAATAGTGTAAGTATTGTACTCATAACAGTCATGGGATTTTAGATGCTGAGTGTTGGAGTTCTTCGCAGGTCGAGCGGACGGTTTCGCCTTTGCGGCTTTTCCTTGTGATTGCATAGGATTCCTGCAATTGTTTGCGACTTACGAACCCCACCTAGACTTTGTCTACACGGAAAGCCTGAAACCAGATATTTCGAAAGCATTTCCAACTAGTCGTGCGGGGCCCGACCGGCTCAGAATGTCTTGGTTTTGGCTGGGCTTCTCCGTCTCGCCACCCAGGGAAGCCTAGCGACCCCCCCGCCCCTTCCTAGGAACCCGAAGATTCAGGCTCAGGCTTGTTGTGTCTCTGCGGGGGCGCAGCTGGAAGGGTTTAGGGTTTAGGCTCGGTTGAGGGTTTTAGGGTTTAGGCTCCCCTCCCTTCCAAAATTATGAGCCTCCTCTGCGCTGAACCATTGGAGCCCCGCCCCCCTCCCACAATCAAAAGAAAGGGGTGAACCACGCACTAGCCTAAACCCTAAACCCTAAGCCCTAAACCCTAAACCCTAAACCCTAAACCCTAAACCCTGAACCTTAAACCCTAAACCGTAAACCCATGCTTGCTTGCAGTACCCGCGGTGCCGAGCCGGGCATCCCCTCGTTGCCTGGGGCGCTTCCAGGCCTGTCTTGTGCCTGTGAGGCTTGGGGCTTAGGGTTTAGGGTTTAGGGCTGGGCTTTGGCCCTGCTACACTGTTACAGTGCAACAAAGTTACTGTATGGTCACTATAAGGGTACTCTCATGGTACTACCAGAGCTCCAGAAGGGTACTAGAAATGCAGTCGAAGCCTTAGGGTACATAGTATAAGGTTAGTGTCAAGGGTCGAAAGGGGTTCAGGGGAGTTTAGATCTCAAAGGCTTTGGTGTTCCAGAATCCGGTGGAGTGCACGTTTGTACGGCTTATCTCAGCAGGGCTGTCTGACCTCCAACTGCAAGCCCCACACCCTAGACTGACTGACCGCTTTTAGAATATGTAAATGTGAAGAGAGACAGAGAGAGAGAGAGAGAGAGAGAGACGGCTTAGGCGTCGGGTAATGTCGGGTAGTTGAAGGCATGTGGTCTGTTTAGTCGTCAGTCGTCGGCAAAGATCCCATAGGAGCATTTCCCGACATCTCTTCATAAGCCCCTAGCGTCATATACATACAATTGTGATCGCTTGTGTGTGCGTTCTTGTATGTTAGTTCTTCATAGCACTCTGATGATTGAAAGTCTTTGTGGGCGCACGCCTGGGGCCTTAAAGTCTGAGCCAGGACTGCCACGTGGGTGTGCGACGGCTGCGAGGACACTCCCGAAAACCATCGCTGCAAAAGAGGGTTTTTAAAAACCCTCTAAACCCCGTTTTTAAAAACCCTCTTCTGTTTTTAAAAACCCTCATTTCTCAATCCACAATGACTCGTGGCATCGACGTATTGGATACTGGTGCCCTCAAACTAAATGTCAACAGGCACGTATGTGGCCTTGAATGAGCCGTGTGCTGTGAGACTGCACCGAAGGGTTTGGACTGTCCGAGCCTGGGGGCATTCGGAGATTCGGGGTATTCTGAATCTTGCGGCATCGCCACAGGGTGGAGTTCAAGAATCTGCCCTCGTTGTTCTTGAAGGTTCGGGGGTCGGGATTTCAAAGCCTCAAGCCCTAAACCAACCCTGAACCCTGAAGCGCTTTGAGCCTAGGTAAATTAGACTCGGAAGCCATGTGGAGCACAGGTTTTGAGAGTGTGTCGGGATTATTGTTGAGGCGTTAGGATCTGCCATTCGGTTTCAGCGAGGTTTGACGGAGGAGGAGACTGAAAATTAGCATCCGTTAGTTGAGGAATGAACTGCAGTGCTTTTCAAGTGGAAAACACAGGCCCAAGCCGCGACCGAAACCTGAAACCCCGACGCTGGGCCATCAAACCGATCTCAAACCTCAACTCCAAACCCTAAACCTCGTACCAAAACGCTAGATTCTGCACCTAAGCCGCTGCAGAGGAGCATGACACCACGAACCTGCAGCGCTACCGCTGTGAGGCTTGGAGGGTTTCAGGTCTAGGCGGGCTCTATACAAAGCCCTGTCACTGCAAGTGCCAGTACCGCTGCTCACAACAACGGTGCCACTAGCAGCGCAAGAAGTACTACTACACACGGCCACACCGAGTCATGGCTATCATCGTCATAACTCTTAACTTGCCTACCGGCAAGATGGCCGAAGACTGTGCAGCCAGCCAAGGGACTAGGAACTTGCTGTCTGAGGTGACTCTCAGCTTATGAGTTTAGGATGCAAGGCTGTAGCTTTTAGGCCTATACTATACGGGCCTTAACAATTAGAATAGGGTTTTGGGGGTATATAATACTTTAAGATACTTTAAGTATAATTAAGGAAGCCCGGAAACCCTATTGTAATTATTAAGGCCCCTACATTAGCTTCTGTAGGGCATCAGGTATCAGGCTTCGACATCTGCTGTCCATTTCCGTCTCGGCAGGAGTGCGACTACGACCTCTGCCCGGAGCTGAAACACTGAGTAGATTTGCTTGTAGGATCAGGTGACTTCACATGTAGGAGGGCCACCCTCCCCTAGCTTGAGGCACTTGTGATCTACTTGTTGCGTCCTGTAATGCTTCAAGCAAGGTTGGGTCGTCGGCTTCCCAGAATCACAGGGGCCCCGAATCCCTAAACCTGGAACCATGACGTAAGCTTTGAAGTAAGCTTTTGGGTCTTCGGTTTCAGGGTTTTAAGCAGGTCCGTAGAACGCTGGCTTCGGTCCTATGATCAAGGCACTGGGAAAGGATGGCATTGGGAAGGGTTGGGAAGGGTTCACGGCTTGTGGTTTTGGGCGGTTAGGATTTACCGACGACATTCGTGGTGTTGTGGCAGAAGTCCGAACCCTCGCTCTTCGCCGGCACACCTCTACTTCCCGGGTGGCTCCGCCTTCAAACCGGATGCCAGCAGCTTGGGCTGGCAGTGTCTACTAGTGGGGGCTTCGGCAGGTTGAAGCAATTTCCAACACGAGCAACACATCTCTGCAAGGCATATACAGCCTGTGCGATAAATTAGGAGCCCAAAACGCCAAAGGAAGTGGACCGATAGCACGCCATGGACATTTCCAGGACCAGCACCTTTGTTTCCAAGACCAGCACCTATGCTTCCAGGAGCTCCAGCAACATCGCATCCGAGAGATCGCTGCGAGTGCAAGTTGCCCCGGAGCTTCTCCGTGGTGTGCCGCTCCATGAATGTCTCAGTGGCTGGGCGAAGCACTGGTCTTCTTCTTCCGGTATGTTCAGTGCCAAGGAGGGCGTCGACAGTTACACCCTGAGTCGCCAAACAACTCGTTTTCATAACTTCTTGAGCCACGACTGGGGAACGTCTCGCTGGCTGAAGCTGACCGCGCTCCTGGTGATCTTCAACTCCAGGGCAGCGGCAGTCGCAAGTCTCGTGGTCAGTGTCTTTTCGGGCATTCTGCGTGCATCAAACATTCTGCCGGACGGTAGTTGGGCGGTGGCGATGGGGTACCTGACCTTTTTCATCTTCTTCTGCTTCTGGCAGCGGATTCGAGCAGTTTTCAAACCCCGAATGGTCTTTTTGGACAAACTCTGCATTGCCCAGCACGATGCTGCTCTCAAGGAGCAAGGTATCATGGGCTTGGCAGCATTCTTAGACCGCTCGGAGAAGCTCACGGTCTTATGGTCACCGCGCTACTTTCATAGGCTTTGGTGTACCTATGAGATTAGTACATTCCTCCGAAAAGTGGACGGCAACGCGCAGATTGAGATGATGCCAGTGAAGCTGTCATTTCTCTTATGCATCAATGCTGTGAAGTGGTTCATCATGACTATTGGCGCCCACATAATCATGGACTCATCCGATCATGAACTCCGGTCTTTGGGTAGAAGTCTGGCTGTCGCAGGCCCATGCGTCCTCCTAGCAGGATCTATGGTTCCCTGGACCTACTTCGTCGGGATTGGAATGATGGAAGACTCTGGGGCTCTGAATACATCGCTTCTAGAATTCTTTGTTCCCTGCTAGGCCTCAGAAAACGGAAGATCACCGCACTTGCACTAGCCTTGTAGACCTTCGAGATTCGAGGACTTATCCAGCCCTAAACCCTAAACCCTAAACCCTGAACCCTAGTACGAGGCTTTCGAGACCCAAGGACTTATCGAAGATGCCACAGCAGCTCACGAGTTTCCGGATCCAGGATGCTGGGAGCGCCTGCTGCTCTCATAACCATCGTCATCCGGAGACCCAAGAGGCCATCGGCTGCGACCGAGATCTCGTGTCACCTGGCCGGCAGATTCTTACACCAGGTTTAGGGTTTAGGGGTTAGCCATGATGTGTGTTCGTACACAGCATCGTCTGCTCTGTCGAGTATGATTTGTCCTACGTTTGTTGGTAGCACTGCCGCTATTCACAAAAATGCCATCGGCTCCATCATTATGACCGGCGTTAGAAGACTCGCTAGGATACGACGGTTTCGGGGAGTTTGTGCTGATTCTACTCGTAAGGTTTTAAAGGTCAACATAGTTCAGAGCAATGCCCAATTCTAACACGACTCCCTACCTCATGACTCCAATGCAACTGGTTCATTCTGGGTCTCTAAATCGTGGGCATTTCGCAGTTCACCACCTTGCAAATTCGCAACTCGGCGCAGAAATTCCCCTAAACCCTAAACCCTAAACCCTAAACCCTAAACCCTAAACCCCTAAACCCTAAACCCTAAACCCTAAACCCGAGGTTCGCCACCCTACAGGCGTGGTTGGGACGAGGTGGAGACAGGAGTCTGGGCTTCGGAACAGTATACTAAGCATAATACAGTAGTACTTTGTCATAGTTGGGTAACATTTTACATTTTTAAGGGTACTTAAACCCAATAAGGAATATAAACTTCAAATTTTTAATACTACCCCAACCATGAACTAGAGTAGATGATTATATACCAGGGTATACTATAATATACTATCATATACTGATGTCCCTTTGTCAGGTTGCAGATGTTTGTTGTCGCCGAGTTGGCCCAGAAGTCTAGACGTCCCCCTTGCCGGGAAGTTCAGTAAAACCTTAATCCCCTGATCGGTAAACTTAGATTGTCAATGGGAGAACTTTAAACTCTATGGCCTTGTATATTAGGTCTATCCTAAAAAGCTTGAACTTTTTGGGGCCTCATTGTTGAAGAAGAGAGTAAACGCCAGATTAATGGGTTCTCTGACTCAACCCTAAACCCTAAACCCCAAACCTTAACCCTAAACCCTAAACCCTAAACCCTAAACCCTAAACCCCAAACCCCAAACCTTAAACCCTAAACCCAAAAACTGGGGCCCAGGACTGAGAAGTATCTGGATGACTTCAACAAGCTCGTCCGCCAACGACTAGCGCCCGCTGTACTGAACACCGTCGGAGGAGACAATCTCCCTGTGGGATATACGTTGCACCTTGGAGTGACTAAGGCCTAGGGTTTAGGGTTCAGGCATGTTCTTGTGCTGCTCGTACCAAAAATCTCTCTCTCTCAGTTTGTCTCTCTCTCTCTCTCGCCTCCCCCTCTCGCTGTACACGAAAGTCGTAGAGACCCACACGCTCGCCTGTATGCTTTCGTCCGTGGGTTGGGTCTTCCCAGAATTTCCTTCCTTTCTAATCTATGTTTTTCGCATGTGGATGTGTACGACGGATTGCGATGGTATAGCATTGCGTGGCGTGGCATGGCATGGCATGGCATGGCATGGCATAGCATGGGACGGGATGGTGCGGTGCGGCGCGGTGTGGTTGGGTATGGCACGGCATGGCACGGCACGGTATGGCATGGCATGGTGTGGTGTGGTATGGTAGGGTACGGTATGGTTAGCCGCCAAACAAACAACACTGAACGTAGAAACACAAACGACACAAGTTTTTGTTGCGTCATGTTCCCAGACTTCAGGTACATGACTGCCAGCTGCCACATACCCTTTATCTCCAACTCCATCGTCGCACTCACCAGGGGGCCACCTGCAGGCTACTCTGGCGGTGACGCGGTGATCTGGGCCGTGCGCATTTGTGTCGACTGGGCTTTCATCTCCCTCCTGGCAGTGATGACCACCCGGTTGAACTTCTTCCTCTGTGAGTACGGCTTTCGGATCTTGCAGAAGACTACAACAAAGTCTAGGCTCGGCCTGGCTTTTGTGCTGTCACAGTTGGTGATTTTGTTCGTCTCTGGTTTCTGGGTCGGGCACTTGCAGATGTCGCATCGCCTCGATGACAAGAGCTGGCTTCCACTACTACCGTTTTTGATCCTCCTCAGCGTGACGACTGTTCTGTTCAGGAAGGGGAAGAGGGCGACGTCGAAGCAGTCCGCAAAAGAGTGCAGAGGAGATGCTGCTGATGATGGGCCGCGAAAAGAAGATCTTCCTGATATACACGCAGATTCAGAAACTGGCTCCACCTTTGAGGTCTGAGCCTTGGCGGCGCCGAAGGCATCTGCATGTGTTCGTCGCTTTGCTCGGTTAAGGCTTTTGGGTGGGAATTTTCCGATGGATGAATGCTCCATGCTCTGCTTCGAATTGCTTCCGCTAGCGGAAGCCGAGCGCCCAAGCGAAAAGCCCCAGGTGTGTCTAATTCGGAGCCGGGTGGCCTAACCAAAACGTTAAGGGCCGGGAGTGTTCCGAAATAGGAGTTTCCGAAACTCAGGGGTACCTTATTTTGGGGTCCTTAGAGGAAGGGGTCCCCTATTTTCTGAAACCCCCAAATAGCGTCCTGTTTGAGGTCCCGTAGAAGGCCACAGTTCCTACGTCCCATGGTGTTCCGGTTGACACCGATATTCTCCTAGTATACACAGACCCTATGGGCCCTAAACCCGCACCTTAAACCCCTAAGCCCTAAACCCTAAACCCTAAACCCTAAGCCCTAAACCCTAAACCCTAAACCCTAAACCCTAAACCCTAAACCCTAAGCCCTAAACCGACCACAAAGTCCCGAAGCCCGAAGCCCGAAACCAGCGGAACGGAACCAAGGTGGCGCCTGCTTCGTGCCCGTGGAGGCTCACAGGGACCTGGGTAATCAGCATATAGATAGATAAATAAATACATATATATACACACACTCTATGTGTGTGTGTATATATATATATATGTATGTATTCTCCCTATACATATATGTATACATATATATATATATATATATGGAGAGAGAGAGAGGCAGAGAGACACACATATAGATGTATATATGTTTGGAGGGATGGATGGATGGATGAATGGATGGATGTATGGACAGACGGACGCACGGATGGATGGATTGATGTATACTCTTATTAACTTTAGGATTCAAGTTTCAGGGGTGCTGGGTTCTCGGGTTTCTGAACCCTGAATGCCCTGATATCTTTGTAGACTCTCCCTGCAAAATCTACGCCTCCATGTGAAACCATCACACCTACGTGTTAAGCCTGTCAGCCTCCACAATTCCAAGCCCTATACGCCTCCAAAACCCTAAACCCTAAACCCTAAACCCGGAACCCGGAACCCGCGGTAAACCCTAAACCCGGACCCGCAGAAGTGGCAGACCAAGGCTGCACAGCCACGGTTTAGGGTTTAGGGTTTAGGGTTTAGGGTTTAGGGTTTAGGGTTTAGGGTTTAGGGTTTAGGGTTTAGGGTTTAGGGCCTGCCAGCTCTCAGAGTTTCGGCTTCGGACGTTGGTCGAATTAAAGTTTGGGGTTGAGTTGCTTACAGGGTTTGATTAAAGTTTGAGGTTGAGTTGCTTAGAGGGCTTAGGTTTCAGGGTTCAAGCAGGGAGTTTGGGTTTCGGGCTCTGCGGGATTCGACTTGGGCGTGTGCAAGTTTGGAGGCCTGGTTCGTCGCTGGAGCCCTAGACTTAGATTCCGCATCTTGAGAGGCTGACCTCAACCCGGCTCTTGGTTTAAGGGTTTAGGGTTTAGGGTTTAGGGTTTAGTATTATAGGGTTTATGTCACAGGCTTATAGGGTTTAGGGTTTAGGAGCAAGGACATTGGGGTGGGTGTTTTGTGGTGCTCCCTGCCAGAGCTTGCTTCATGCGTTTTTTTCTCGCCCGTTGCCCCATATCTCAGATCCTCCGCCTCAAAGCATGCAGCATCAGTTCAGATAGCAGAGAAGCTGAACCTATCCGTGCAAAATGCAAGCAGCACCTGTTTTCGGGGCTTCACCCTGCGCATCACGACGAGACGACAAGGATGAGGATGAGGACGGGGACCGGGATGGGGACAAGGGCGAGGACGACAGCGACAACAAGAGCAACAACAGAACACATCAACTAATCCAGCAAAAGCAAGCAGCAAGCAGTACGAGCAAGACTGAATCTCTTGTGACCACCGCCAGTCCCCACTGAACACGCAGGCGGCCGAGGACAAGGTGCCGAGTCCCGAGGACAGCCAGCCTCCGCAGCCCCAAAACCCGTCGCTGCTCTAACGAAAAAGCTTAAACAACCCTGACATGCCTAGTACACCCGAACGTTTCAAAAACCGTAAAGGCCATGTCCTTAGACCCAACAGCTTCGAATCCTTGAGTCCTTTGCACTCTGCCAGCCCTAGTAACCTAAACCTACCAGAGGCCCTAGAGTTTAGAGTTGGCTACTTGGAGGTTCATACTTAGGTAGTTATAAGTGCGGTTATAAGTCCTCTAATATAACACTATAGTTACCCTACTTATAACCCCACTTATAACTACCCATGAACCTCGCTAAGGCAGGCCTTGGCCCTTAGGGTCCTGCGCAGGCCAGGAATCGCAGCCCACAAACGCAAACGCGAGCCGAGAAGCCAGTTTCTAAGCTCATTCTCTTATATTGAGCCCCAAAACCATACCCTACGCCCTGTGCGTGAAACCTGGACCCAAAGCCATACCTTGAGCCCTCAACCGAAGCCCCAAAATCACAAAACTCAAATCCACAGGCCTCAGTGCCCTGTTTTTGGAGCCTTACCAGTTAGAACATCGTGTTAGGGTACCAGGAATAGGACTAGCATTTATAGAGGCATCTACAGTAGGCCGCCACTTCGACGAAGGAGTCCTCCGACGATGAGTCCAATTTGCCTCGCACCCGGAGGCCGAGAAGAGGTTAGACGTTCCTAGCATACTTGGAGGTCCATGGCTACTTGGGGGTTTAGGGGTTCCTTAAAGGGTTTAGGGTTTAGGGTTTAGGGTCCAGGGGGTTCAGGGTTTAGGGTTTAGGGTTCTTGGAGGTTCATGGGTAGTTATAAGTGGGGTTATAAGTAGGGTAACTATAGTTATAACCCATATTAGGGGACTTATATCCCCACGTATAACTACTCATGAACCTCTAAGTAAGTAGGGGGCTGAACAATACAGGAGCGTGGGCATCGATTTGTAGGGGACTGATCGACTCGAATAGGAGTGTGGGTATTTGGTGTTAAGGAATCATGCTGAATAATTAGAAGAGGGTTTGGGGGCTCAGGTTAAGGGAATCATCTAGGAGACTGAGCAGGGGCCTGCAACTACGATACTGCGCTAGCTAGACCTTTCAAATGCCCGTTGTTTTGGCCGAGTGTTCTCTGAGGGTCGGGTAGCACATGCTGTTCTCAACGTCGTTGGCATGCAAAGTTTTAAGTACGTGCTTGAGGGTTTAGGGTTTAGGCGTTTCCTTGCTGCTTCCCTCAAACCCCGAGACCCTGAAGCAACTTCGACTTTGTGTCGTTTGCTCCGCATGGCGGGAACTCCAGAGCGTAGAGACTCCGGAATTGTCAGCCTGTCTGAGGATTCTAATTTTGAGTCTGGTCTTTGGTGCTCAGCCACACCACCGTAATCCGAACCTCGAACTGGTAGCCATGAGCCCTGGCCCTAACCCTTCAATGGTTGGCGGCTGTGGGTCCTGCGGCCGGCATGACAGTGTCTCGTGGACTAGTCAGGCGCGTGTCTCAAACCCTCGCCCCGAAGACCAAAGGGAACTACAAGGGCAGTGGGCATACTGCAAGGGCTACTAGGGGGGAACCAGCTTTATCTTAACTGACAATCCCAAGCCCTACGCCCAAAACCTTAAGATCCTAAGCCCGAAACCCATAATATATGGGCCTTAATAATTAGAATAGGGTTTGGGGTATTATACTGTAATCACAACAAGGAACCACTAAAACCCTATTATAATTCAAGTAGCAAGGCCCTACATTAACCTGACGCCACTAAACCGTGCGACATTGAAACTCCAGGCGCACAGCTGGCCGTCCTGCATGGGCCGTGCGAGGGCGCGCCTTCTTCCCGAGGCCGCACCAGTAACCAGGATTGAGGGTTTTTGGGCATTACTTGGAGGTTCATGGGTAGTTATAAGTGGGGTTAATAGTCGGGTAACTATAGGCATCATTTATATTAGGGGACTTATAACACCACTTATAACTACCCATGAACCTCCAAGTAAGGGTTGAGGGTTTAGGGGCTTGAGGGTTTCGGATTTTCGGCTGAGGGTTTGGGGTTTAAACAGGGGCTCGAGGGTTTTGGGTTGAAGATATAAGGTTGAGGCTTTCGGGGTTTGGGCCTAGGCTTTTGGTTCTTGGACGGGCAGTTGGGTTCTGAGGGGTTGTCGGTCTAGGGATTCTCGTTTTTGAGTTAGGGTTTAGGGTTTAGGGTTTTAGAGCGTGGTGCTCATAAGATCAGGGATCTGTCCTGCTCTATGTTAGTCAGTGACTGAGGTTCGCATGCTCCGTAGCTGTATGCAATTTTATGTAGGACGTCGGGTTTGCCACAAGCCCACGAAATTCGCGACGATCTGCGGTGTAATATAGGGGCCGAAATAAGTAGAATATGCACCAAAACCCTATTCTAATTATCAAAGCCCCTACATTACCACGGTGTACCTTGCATTTCTCTTACCAGGTCCCCGGGAAGCCGAACCACCAGACCCGACATATCCGAACCCCAACTAAGCCCCAAACCTCGGAGCAGCAACAACACCCTGAAAGGTGTTCTAAAACCATGATGGCCGGCGTGATGGCCCAAAACAAAAACCCTCACACCACAGAAGCCCAAACCTGGGAACCGAAAAACTGTTCAAGCCCGTAGCCCTGAGACCTAGCATGCCCTACGGACAGGCATAAAACAAAATCAAGGAGTACACCTAACCTTCCAGTCCCGAGCCCAACACCGCAAGACCTAAGCCGACACCCTAAGCCCGAAAACCCGAATGCCCTGCGACCCTTAACACTCCAAACTCTACAGCACCCAAAAGCCCTATAAACCCTGAACCCTAAACCCGAATACCCTAGACCCTAAACCCTAAACCCGAAGCATGTTTGGAAGAGAAGGGGCGGTGCCAAAGCTCGACCTCGTCGGAGTCGGCCCAAGGCGAAACTGGGAAAGGTGGGTTAAGGGTTTACAGGGGTTTAGGGTTTAGGCTTTTGGGGTTTAGGGGTTTGGGGGTTTAGGCTTTTTGGGTTTATGGGTTTAGGGGATTAGGGTTTAGGCTTTAGGGGCTTAGGGGATTAGGGTT